AGCTTGGGTTTGGGGAGGGTTCTCACTATTCTGAGAATTAAGGAAATGGCTTGCTGTGCCTGGACTGTTTGTGCAGGTAGTGAGGTTTGTGTTGGGCATCTGCTTTCCAGCTGGAGTCTGGAATCTTGATGTATGCTGGATGGTAGGTGCCTGTGTGACTGGCCCCCAGTGAAGGCCCTGTGCTCTGGTGAGCTTCTCTGATAGACAATATTTCACATGTGTTATCACAACTCATTGCTGGGGAATTAAGTGTGTCCTGTGGTCTCCACTGGGAGAAGACCCTTGGAAGCTTGCACCTGGTTTCCCCTAGACTTTGTCTCATACTTCTTTTTTCTTTGTTGATTTTTCTTCATGTTCTTTGACTGTAATAAATCTTAGTCATGGGTTATCTCTATATGCTAAGTCCTGTGAGTCCTCCTAGTGAATCTATAACTTTTCAGAGATGTCTATGCCTTTACCCAGTGGGAACATACTGTTCACATAGTTCCACATCTTGCCTTTCACAATATAAAATGTTTTGAAGACCGTTTGCATCAACATTCATAGATCTCAATCTTTTCCATGCCTGAATAGTATTATGTATAACTGTACTAGAATTTATATATTCAGATCTCAATTAATGGACCTTTAGTAACTTTTATTATTGCAATTACAAATAATGCTGCATTGAACATTCCTATACATGCATCTTTTCATACATTGATAAGTATTACCAGCAGGTTAAATTCCTAGAAGTAGAATTCTTGGGTCAAAGGATATATATGCTTTGCTCTTTGATAGATATTGCAAAATTGCCCCCCACCAAAGAGGCTGTGTGGATTTTTACTCCCATCAACGTGGAAGAAGTGCCTGTTTCCCCATATTTTTGTTGATATATATTTCTTTATCAAATTTTCAATAAAATTCACCCTTTTTAGGTGTACAGTTCCGTGAATTTTAACAGATGTATGTAGTCTTGTAACTACCACCACGATCAAGATATAGAATGTTTCCATCATCTCAGAAAGTTCCCTTGTGGGCCTTTGTAGTCAATCCTCAGTTCCTGAAACTGCGTATTGATCTGATTCCTGTCCTTAGTTTTGCCTTTTTCAGAATATCATATAAACGAAATCACACATAGTCTTTTGAGTCTGGCGTCTTTCACTTAGCATAATGCTTTTGAGATTCATCCATGTTGTTGCATTTATGAGTAGTTTACGCCCTTTTTGTTGCTGAATAGAATTCCATTGTATCACTATTTGAGTACATTTCACTAGTTGATGCGCACTTGGGTTGTTTTGAGTTTTTGGTGATTAATAAATCTGTTAGAAATATTTAGGTACAGGTTTTTGTGTAGACATGTCTTCACTCTTTTTGGGTAAATACCTAAGAGTAGGATTGCCTGGTCATATGGTAAGTATATGTTTAACTTCATAAGAAACTACCAAACTCTTTCCAAAGTGGCTGAGCCATTTTGCATCCCCAGCAGCAGTGTATGAGAGTTCCAGTAGCTCTGCATCCTTGCCAACATTTGGTATTGTCAGGTATTTTTTTGCCATTCTAATGAGTATGTAATAATATTATATATTTATCAAACTTTAAAAAAACTTTGCTATTCTAAGTAATAAAAGGTATCTCGGGCTTCCCTGGTGGCGCAGTGGTTGAGAGTCCGCCTGCCGATGTAGGGGACACGGGTTCGTGCCCCGGTCCGGGAAGATCCCACATGCCGCAGAATGGCGGGGCCCGTGAGCCATGGCCACTGAGCCTGCACGTCCGGAGCCTGTGCTCCACAACGGGAGAGGCCACAACAGTGAGAGGCCCGCGTACCGCAAAAAAAAAAAAAAAAGTTATCTCAATTTTCATTGACTACATTTCTTTAAGTTAGGGTAATTAGAATACTTCTAATATGTTGAAAATATTTCTTTTTCTTTAAATTGCCTATTTATGTTCTTTGCCCATTTTTCTACTAGATGGGTTGATCATTTTCTTAATGATTTTTAATGACTCTGTATATTAAGGAAACCAACTATTTCATAGTCGTTGCAAACATTTTCCTCAGTTTGTTATTTTTTACTTTGCTTATGGCATATTCTGCTGCAGAAATATTTTTATGTTGCTTCTGACTTTTGTACCTCATAGGTACAAAAATGAGGAGGTAGAAATAAGATAACTTACAAATGTGAGATGTAGAAGACAGGGGGCTGTAAGGCTGGGAAACGTGGGTGAATCAGTTCACCCCATCCCCACTCTGACCCCCACACTAGTGATATTTGGCCAGCACAGATTGTCTCAGTCTTTCTCACCAGCAACACATACCCAACGCTTGTTGACAAACGCAGCCTCTTTGAGAAAAGGTAGAATCCCCAGGGCACAATTCTTCAATTTCAGATGTGGAAGATGATTTGTTTAGTGGGAGCAATGTGTTTATTGCAGAGACCATCAATGCACGAGATTGTTAACACTTGTTGGCTGAGAGACGGAATTCCTGTCTGCAGTCTCAATGATATCACTCTGCCGGAAACAACCCTCCTCCTTGCCAACCCTATACTTGAGTATGGGATTCGACGATGTCCGCAAAGACCTATTGTGCTCCATGCAGTCTATGGGTAAAAGAATTCAGGAAAGGCCAGAAGGGGTGTGGGTGAGGAGGTAGATGGAAATGTGGGAGGAAGTGAGGAGAAGGAGAGAGAGGGAAGGAGATTCCTTTGCTTCCTTATTTCCCACACTCAGATCCTCTGTTGGCATTTGATTTTTGCAGTCATTAACGTTTTTAGAGTCAGGCACATCAGTGCCAAGTCAGTTAGTTACTTGCTGCTAATCTGAGAAGAGCACAGCCCACAGCAAAAAGAATGGTGGGATGGAGAGTGTGGGATTGGCAGAGTCTGATTTGCAGGAAGAGCTTGTTGTGCACTCCCACCCCGGTTCCACTGCCCTGGGTCACTAAATGGGCTCTTCCCACCCGAAGCTGAACTTCTGAGGCGCCCACTCAGGATCAGCCAGTCTACTTTGTTAGGATAAATGCACTCCTTTTCTAACTAAAGAGCTGTGAACTGGGATGAACCAGCTAATTAACATCTCAAAGAGCAGAAACAAAAGATCATTAAGTAAAAGCAAGTAACTTTCTCTGAAGTCTTGGGTTCAAGAGATCAGTGGAACAGGACCATGGGTATTTACTCAATAACCTGTCTCTCTACCTCTCTCTCTAGTCGTCGTCGTCGTCGTCGTACCCCCCCCCCCCCCCCCCCCCCCCCCCCCCCCCCCCTC